CCACGCCGACGATGGAGACTGGCAGACACGCGGTGCTCGCACCGAACAGATGGTGGGCTGAGGGTGAGCAGAGGGGCTGCCAGATGACAGCGGTGGAGGAGGCAGGAGCGGGCAGGTGGGTGGCTATCCGTGAGCCCCCGGGCTCTCCGGGCCGATGTGCGCTGCCCACACACACCAGGAGCGTGTCAGACAGGGGAACAACAGGGCTGGCAGATAGTTCAGGGCAGACTGGTAAGTCCGAGGAAGGTGGGAGGAAAATGGGCATGTCCGCATATATATCTGCCTCCCAGTCTATTAAGTCCCCTTCAAAGTCCAGCAGTCCCAGATACACAATAAGCTCACCCTCAGCCATGGTGCAGTGGGCAGAGCTCCTCTCCGCACTCTCGCTGTCCACGGCCTTCTCCCTCGTGGCGAGCAATGTAGCTGGCTCTCGCACCTGGTCTGATGTCACTTGAAGCTCGGGCTCCGCGGCGATCCTCAGCTCTGTCGTTCCGTGCGGCGGGCTCGGGCTTTGGCTCCGTGCAGCGAGGTGATGGTGGGCTGGGCTCTGGGTCTGGCTGTGCTCTGGATTGGGGTCGGATGCTCTCCACACACCGGATGATCAACGGGGCGATGGTAATTTGCCCCGATCCAGAAAAGTGAGTTCAGCGCAGCGTCGTCGAATGCCGTTAAAACGGCGAGTTGGCTGAACTCAACCGCATACTCCAAGATGGGCAGGTCCTTATGGGCTAGAACTGTGCATTTAGCAGCGAGGGGATCCATTGGGGGGAAAAAACAAAACACGGAAAACAAACGGAGGGGAACACGCAATATACTTCTTTTTGTTGGTCCAGTGTTCTGTCAGGGTGTCTGCTGTGCAGGAGCGAAGGACACGGAGACGCAGGAGATTCATGAATAACAGTCTTTAATTATCCAAATAAGGGGGAACACCGGGCAGGCAAGAACACACACGCAGCACATAGCATTGATGTTTAACACTGGACAAGGGAACATAGGGCAAACCACACTTTAAATACAGGACGAAACGAGGGTAATTGAAAAGACACACCTGAATCAAATGAACAATCAACGAGAGACAGAAAAACTGGGTCACTGAGAGCACATGGGGAGGAAAACATACACACAGACAGTCCAGGAGCATGACACCTGAAGGGCTCAGACACACCTGACGTTATTGTTCAGTTTGACTCATTAATGAAGACTGTGGTGCATCCGCTCTGACTCTGAATCACACACACATGGGATCGGTGTGTATTGTTGTCAGTGGATGAACTCTGCTCAGATCTTCAGCTCCAGATTTTTTTCTCTTAATGACTGAAACGGTTTCATTAAACTGTTGTTTAATTAAGTTTGTTAGGGTATTTCCAAAGGCATGTGGTATCAGAAATCATTAGTCCCAGTGAGGACGGTGAGGAGGTCAGAGACGGTCACTAGAGTGAACAGTGCTGTTTGAGTAGAATCTGATCTAGTCAGTATTTAACATGAACACAGATGAAACCCTTGTTGACCTGTGGGTCACACATAGACAGATTAGACTGAGAGCGGATATCAGGTGAAATGTGAGGCAGGAGGAGGTTCCTGAGGAGTGTGTGTGTGTGTGTGTGTGAGACTGACCCACAGCTGGTCGTCGTGTCCTGGAGGACTCTTCTTGATGAAGGCACCGTAATACGTGGCGATGTTTCTGTGATGAGAGTATTTCTTCAGCATGTTAATCTCCAGCTTAATCTCCTCTTCTTCATCCTGAGCACACACACACACACAGCAGGAGTTTGTCTGAGTACAGATGTGCAGTACTTGTGCTCAGTGCTCCTCCTGTTGTTTATGGATACACTACCTTTCTTGACCATTTCATAATACTGTTTGATTCATTTGGTTTTGTTGAACACACTGATGTGAAAAGCGTGGCTCTGTGAGCTGTGTACACTTACTTCAGTCACGTCCATGACTTTGATAGCCGCCAGCTGCCCGGTTTTGACATGTCGACCCTGATCAGAAACACAGAGCAAATCAGTTAGAGAGAAGAACACGATACGCACGCTAATGCATCTGTGTGCAGCTACATGAGCGTTAGCATGGATGACAGCAGGGTCAATGACGCTGAATGTGAACGGACGAGAGTTCCTTCACTGTGAACAGCACTGATCCTGACGGCTGAGGGAGCGTCTCGAGGAGAGACTCTCGACTCTGACCTCGTGTGCTTCAGACACGGAGAAACTCACAAACAGCAGACCGCTTCGGTGTGTTCTGATCAGCGGCTCAGGCTGCTCTGCTCAAACGAAATGAATAGCTTCAACCAGCAGAGATAACGTTAAGAATATCTCACATCTGAGTCCATGAGACGGAGGAAAGAACGAGAAATATAACAAACAGCAGCAGCAGCAGCTCCCTTTTCTGTCCAAGATACTAGAAAAGGTAGTATCCTCACAATTATATTCCTTCTTAGAGAAAAATGGTATCTGTGAGGATTTCCAGTCAGGATTTAGACCGTATCATAGTACTGAGACTGCTCTCATTAGAGTTACAAATGACCTGCTCTTATCATCTGAGCGTGGTTGTATCTCTCTATTAGTGCTACTGGATAAGTGCCTTTAACTGAAAAATTAGTGTTTACTATTGTCATTTTGCATTATTGACACACTATTTTCCTAATTAATGCTGTTCAGTTGCTTTGACACGATCTGTATTGTTAAAAGCGCTATATAAATAAAGGTGACTTGACTTGACTTGACACAAAACTGACGCTAATGGAAGAACAATCACAAATTCACAGGACTGTGCGTTATTTATCAACAACTCAACAGCCCATCATCAATTTTCTTGTCCTTTTCTGCAGGTTTTACACAAACCATTATGTCTATTTGGCTTTCACAATTTCAGCTGTTCTCTTACCCGTGTTTCTGCTGTAAATAACGAGCAGTGAGGTTAAACTACATCAGATCTGAACTGATATACAGCAGAAATTGATGAGTTTCACGGTTATTTCCCTCTTTATTACTGTTTGCTGCTTTGAAAGGATCTGTATTGTGTAAAGTTCTCTATAAATGAATATGACTTGTCCTGATGATGATGGGGTGTGTTAGCTGCTAAACTAGCATCGACTCATCATAACAGGCTGATTTCTTCAGAAGACTCGGCTCTGCTCGTCAAACTACAGACAGAATCGAGTCGCTCAGGTTTATCATCCTCTGCCATGACAAATCCACCGGCTGTGGCATTTCAACACATTAATTCAGCCTTACTGCTGGTCAGAATTTCATCTCTTTTTTTGTCAAATCTCCATTCTCATATATCAGTTCTAGGTGGGGATTTTAACTGTGTGACGTGTCACTGGCTATATATTTATACTCAATAAAAACATACAGCACTTTAACATGTGCAGCAGTTTTTATCAAAAGTATGGTGTTTGTTTTCATACCTGATCTTTCAAAGTGTTTCAAAGAGATTTGGGAACAAGACCTTTCTATTCCTATTTCAGATGACCAGTGGTCATACATCTTATATCGTAGTGCTGGGCGGTATACCGGTTCATATTACCGGTTTATTTTTGTTACGATATGAATTTTTAAATATAACGCAATACCAGTGTATGTCACTTAAACAACGTTCGGAACGCGGCACGGCACGACACTGTTTGAGAGTGGTCCCTTTTAACTGTTGCACTGTGGTGAGCGCACAGCTGTATCAAAGAACTTGCGTGACGGTGAAGATGGACAACCCTCTACAATGCGAGTAAATCACTCTCATATGTAACTAAATCTTCACTCTGGGCGACAAAATGATCTCTCCTTTGTCCTCCTCCTCCCCCTTCTTCATCAACTCTAACAGCTGACGAATTTGCCACATTCTTCATTAATAAAATTACAAACCTCAGTGCACAATTTTCCACACCACAATCTGTCAAGCACATCTTACCAGCAAACATACACTCGTTTTCATCTTTCTCTCCACTCTCTGAGGCAGAAGTCTCTAAACTCATCCTTTCCAATCATCCTACTACTTGTCCGCTTGATCCTATTCCATCTCATCTCCTTCAAGCCATTTCTCCTGCTGTTGTACCTGCACTCACTCACATCGCTGCTGTTTGCTTTGTTCAGGCATGTAGTATAATTTCACAAAGCTAGTCAGAACATTCTGTTTTTGCTTCAAATTGGGTTATTATTAAATCAAATTATGGATATGAAATTATATAACTAAATTATATTAAATTATATAAATGATATGTATATGAATTATAGAACTAAAATTATAGTCCCCCTGTGGTGAAAATCAAGTTTTTGTATGTTGTTTATTTGTCTATGTGTTGTTTTTAATATGCTTTTAGACAAACCATGTGCCAATCCATTTATCAACACCATTGCTGAGTATTTTCTCCTTAAAACTGTAGTTTCCCAAAGGCAGTCACAGAAACGCGGTTTGAAA